CAACTTTATTAATATATTTTAAATTTCTTAAGATTATCTACATTGTTACTAAAACAAAAATAATAAATGTACTTACATTGCATATTTACCCTAAGGTCTCAGTACACTATAATATTAACTGTGTTGGTATTATGTGTACGACAATGATGTAAAAAGAGCGGAGCCTCCTAATACAGGCATTGTTTGCTTAAATGGGGGCTCCAAACACGTTAACATGTAATGTACTTATTGACACAATAAACTATTTTTTGTATTTGGCTGAAAATTGGTAGGGAGGTAGCTTAGAGCCAGGAGACCGACATAGGATACTTTTTAACCAACATTTTTTTTTTACTTTTTACCGACGACCACGAACGGGGACGGGAAAAAATGGGATTACGCGTACGAAGTCGCGGGCAGAAGCTAGTAGTCCTTAAATTAAAAAGGAAATAAAAAAAGTAGTAACTGACTTTACGTTCAATGAAAATTATATTGTTTTTTTATTTTGACTGCACAGCATTATTAGATATCTACTATTATTCCTGTAGAATCGAAACCTACTATATCTAGATTCGTGGGCAAAGCCATTGGAATAGAACCGGTGTTAAATAAAACCTAGTCATTCCCAAGCTATCTTCTAAATTGCACTAGAAATAGAATCAATCTTGTTTCGCACTGCGTTCAATTCTGTACATTGGATAGACATAGGTATCGAAGTCCTAGATTTTGTAGCACTGCTTGTGTGCTAGATTAGGTATGCGATTCGCTTTCCATCATTTGATTGCTTGTATCTACACTACAAATAGTTGCTGTGGTCAGGACCGAATTTCTGGATGTTGGGCCCCCTGGTCCAACCTATGAATGACGTAACACATAACATAACGTCACGCCTTTTATCCCTGAAGGGGTAAGCAGAGGTGCACATTACGGCACTGTAAAATGTAGCACCCACTTTTCACTATTTATATTATGAGTTCCATGTCCAGACTCCGTGTTACCACTGAGATTTTTTTTTAAAAATCCAGTATTACTTTGCCCGACCCGGGAATCGAACCCGACACTCCTTTACTGGCAGTCGCACTTGCGACCACTCGGTCAACGAGGCAGTTGTGCATATTTGTCTAGTTACATCTATGAAGTTTAATGTAATAGGCGATTAACCTATTGCCATATACCTAGCATAATTGTAAGCTCTGTGATATTATTTGGAAATGGCTATTTGATCAACGAGACAGTGAAAGTCAAAGCATTTATTTCAATTAAACCATAATTTGGTACTTTTGAAACGTCAACAAATACAAAATAAATAATAGTCTGTCAGTCAGTCCGTCAGTGAAGCTAGGTGAAGCTAGGTGCTCATTCCAAAATGTAGATTCGAATTAAGAAGAACGAGCAAGAAACTCCTTTCGTTACTCTTTTTATAAAGTATGTTCTACAATGTCTCTGATACATATTCCAATACTGTACGTATATATGAAAACAATGCAAAGACACGCTTGACGCATTATACTAATTACAAAACTTACTAAAAAAAAACAAAACAAAAATCTTATAGTCTATCATTGTGCTCATATATGCATACTGACAAGTCGTATTTGTCTTCTATGTTTAATGGCATCCTTCTATTATACATTGGGCCGCAAAAGCGACTAAGCGTTAGTTGTAGCATTAGCTGAATACTGAAAGACTACATAATTTTAAGTAGTACTTAAAATCATGCCGTATCTGTCATTTTACAAAGATTTTATAGTGACAGAAATATACTTAAACGCGTCTTAAAATTCAGTTGCGTTTGAGTAATTGGAAATAAGTTCGTCACTGTATACATTTGCTTCAGAACTTATTTCTATCGTCGTGAATATTTGTGAATGTATAGCCTTCATGGTCCGATGACTGTGCAAAGCTGCCAGTATTGCTGTTATATAAATATATATTATATGTAATATGTATGTTTGTACAGTCGTTACGGGTAGTTAGGAACTTATAATGCTGATAACGTGTCGAGAAGGGAATATATATCATTCTTGGTAACGAGATATTGTAGTTAGGTCATAATGACATGCTTTTTTGGTAGAACTGCACATATATATACAATGTAACACCCACTTTTCAGTTATATTATGAGTCTATTTATTTATTTATTTATTTATTTATTAAGAGTTACCAACATTTGATTACACAACTACAGTAAGCATAATACAAGCAAGCAAAGAGGAATGAGCCTATGTGTAACAAACAATTACAGGTAACCACAACATTTACTGGTACAAATATGTGTATATAAAAAAAAAACAGTTCTTAATTACTATCCTTAAGTCTAGTTCTAACACAAAATACTAAACCATATAGGTACATAATCCACTATCTGTGTAGATTGGATAATATGCATTTATGCACGCTGGAACGGAACCGACCAAGCGAGTCCAAGTGAACATCCGTGGAATCAGAGTATTTATTCAGGGCGCGACTCAGACGTGGTATGGGTGAGTTTGCACCAAGCACTGTTCTACGACGCGGTGGGTATAAAGGGGTTATCTGTTTACGAGGGTAACAAAAAGGAACTCTATAATTTACCTTGCTCAAGAGCTGTGGACAGTCTACACCATTGTTTAAAATCTTATACATAAGATACAATCGGAGAGTTCTCTGCGATCAGATAAAGAGACCATCCCGAAATGTGACAGTTTGTTCAAGTAAGAAGATTTTTTGTCTCTCTTGTTCTCCCTGCGTAACAAATGCCATAAGAACCTCTTCTGAATGCGTTCTAATCGAAGGGAATGTACCGCATAATGTGGTCTCCACACTACACTGCAATAATCTAAGATACTTCGCACAAGACTATTATACAGCATGATTTTCAGCCAACATCGCGAAAGACTTTACAGTTTCTTATCACGAAACTCAACATTCGGGAAGATCCCCACAATGTTTTCCAGGTGAGGGAGGAAAGTCAACCTTTTATCAAAACAAACTCCGAGGTCCCTAATTTGGTCTACAGCCTGAATTCTGTCACCTCCTATGAAATAATCAAAGCCTATTATTTTGCTTTTTCTAGAATGAGTCTCATATAATAGGAGTCCTTTTATGGGATAAGCCGGGTTTTTTAAGGGGGAAAATCATCTAATTACTTCTCCCGCCTGGGTGAGGCGGGAGGGAGTGTCAGACTCTTACTGACTAAAAACCACCCCGTTCCTTCTCCTGCGCTTCGAGCCGGAGCTCCGGTAACCCGTTAGGTTCATAACCCGGTAAACGAACACCGATCCGACGGATCACCTGATGGTAAGCAATCGGCGCGGCGTCGCCTATGGACACCTGGAACACCAAGGCGTTACAACTTACAAGTTTTGGGAATCAGGCCTTTTGGCGTAAAGGAATTTTCGGATTATTGGGGATTCAGAGATTGGGAAGATTAGAGATGCATTGGGGGTAATTAGGCCTCCGGTAACCTCACTCACACGACGACACACAACACAAGCGTTATTTCACGTCGGTTTTCTGCTCGTTGGTGGTATCACTCCGGTCGAGCCGGCCCATTCGTGCCGAAGCATGGCTCTCCCACACTTAAATTACACTATTGTCATACACGGGGCGTGATTTCAGACTCAGTGCTATTATTGAGAATAACCAAATTCAGTTCTTCTGGGAATCGAACACGAGACCTTTTGCTCTTCAGTCACACTTTGATGTGACATTGCCTCTTCTATTCTCAGAAAGTGTAGGTAAGCAGGTGTTATATGAAACACTAATTCATCGTGGAATAATTAATTTGTAGTATGAATTTAATTAAATATGAGACGAACTTCGCTCGAATACTATAATGCTACGTAAATTTAAATTGTACTTAAATATCGTACTCTGTAATTGTAAAAAGATTTCGCCGTAAAATTCAAAGCATTTATTAAACCATAGTTTGGTACTTCTGAAACGTCAACAAATACAAAATAAATAATAGTCTGTCAGTCAGTCCGTCAGTGAAACTAGGTGAAGCTAGGTATGACAACTATACTTGAAAACATCTTAAAATTGAGTATTTATCCATAGACTAACATACAAATCTCGACACTGTATTTGGAGACTAAGAAACCTAAATATAAATATTAAATATGCATCCAATAAGAATTTAAGCTTAGCCTAACTAGCATTTGTCTATCATGCAAAGGACCAGTAATTAACGAGGCATTCATAACATAACATCACGCCTTTTATCCCCGAAGGGGTAGGCAGAGGTGCACATTATGCCACTGTACAATGTAACACCCACTTTTCACTATATATGTTATGAGTCCCATGTAATAGGGGGTGAGCCTATTACCATATACCGGACACAATTCCAGACTCCGTGTTACTACTGAGATTTTTTAAAAACCCCAGTAATACTTTGCCCGAACCGGGAATCGAACCCGAGACCCCTTGCCCGGCAGTCGCGCTTGCGACCACTCGGCCAACGAGGCAGTTAATTAACGAGGCATTCATAGTCACTGGAATATCGTTCTGAGTATAATATTATATTCCATGTACGTACCTACGTATATAACTATGTGTAGAGATTAGTAATCTAGTATAATCATATTATAAACTAAAGATTACATATAGACGGGTGAGTAGTGAGCGCATAGTGGCTACGGCCTACGGCTACGGAGCCTACGGCGTAGCTAGGACTTACTACGCGGGGCGTAGCAACCAAAATAATAACTATCGTGAAACATACTAATTTAGCTAAAAATCGCGGGTTACCTACGTCAAAAGACTGAGAAAAGCTGGAGTAGGGTTCCCGACATTGTCGCGACCGCGCACTCTACTAATGAGGAAGACCTCTGTGGTTCGAAACTAGTAGAGCTTTTCTCAGTATTTTAACGTGAGTAAACCGCGAATTTTAGTTAATTTCTTAAGAGCGTTTACCAAACTATTCAGTTGGAATCTTTAAATAAGACGAATAATAAATGTATTCATTGTTGATTGACGTGATCCATATTTGTATTAACACGTTTATGTTATGTGGATTATAATGACTATAACCTTACTTTCAAGCCTCGCCACTAGTCTGCCGACTCTCTTAGCCTCGACTTCATCAATTTTCTCAGCTCGTTTGACGACGGCAGCTATGGCCTCTCTCTCGCTCGCAGTCAGCGGCGGCTCGCTGCGGGCTGCACTCCATCCTGTGCGTAATCTGTGGCAGAAGGAAAAGAACTCTTATTATATTAATAGTAAAGCATTGGATACTGCGTCGTTGGCTGAGTGGTCGCAAGCGCGACTGCCGGGCAAGAGGTCTCGGGTTCGATTCCCGGGTCGGCCAAAGTGTTACTGGGTTTTTTAAAAATCTCAGTAGTAGCACGGAGACTGGAAATGTGCCCGGTATATGGCAATAGGCTCGCCCCCTATTACATGGGACTCATAACATAAGTAGAGAAAAGTGGGTGTTACATTGTACAGTGGCATTAAGTGCCGTAATGTGCACATCTGCCTATCCCTTCGGGGATAAAAGGCGTGACGTTATGTTATGTTATCAAGGTAAAAATCTGAAGTTCAATATTAATACCGAGCTAAGGTGGCTGCCGTAACATCATTAATGAACTAATTATTTTTTGGGTATTCTATATATAATGTCAGTAGACATGAGCCTTAGATAATGTATTGGGTATATATCTATATATTACACATTCACCTCTCATAAAAGAAATAGCCTTAACATTACATTGTGAGCTGAAAATAAACAAAATGTTACCAATTATATGACGCCACGCTATTTATCTATGACGATAGATACTAGAATGACACCTATTATTAAATAGATAAGGGTTAGAGTTCTATCTCTATGATAGTGATAGGTCAATCACCTTCGTGCTTTCATAGTGAAACAATATGTGTTTTTGTAGTTCGATCGGGATTTTTCTCCAAAACCGAAAATGTTGAACATCTAAATGTTATATCAGTGGTAAGTTTATATGTATAATTAATCGCCCTGAGGACACGGCGGAACACACCGTAGCGGAATGCCCTGCGTGGGCTGAGCACCGCCGTGCCCTCAGGGAAGTGATCGGCGATGGCGACCTCTCGCGTCCGGGCCTAGTGCAGGCCATGATGCGGAGCGAGGGGGACTGGGATGCCGTCTCCTCCTTTTGCGAAGCAGTCATGCTAGCTAAGGAGGAGGCGGGACGCGTGAGGCAGCGAAGCGCTGCCTCCTCGCGACCCAGCCATCGCGAAGGACACACCGGGCGTCGGGGATCGCGGGACGATCTCCGGCCACCGTAAGCGCGGGCCTGCGGACGGCGAGCATGGGTGGCTCCCCGTCCGACCAGAAACAGACCCGAGCGTACGGCGCGTCGCGTTCCGCGCGCGCCTCAAAGAGCCATCAGACCACCACAGATGGGGCCCAATAGGGCCGATGCCGATTCGGAGTCGCGGAGAACCTAACGGGTAACCGGGGCTCCGGCTCGACGTGCAGGAGAAGGAACGGGGTGGTTTTTAGTCAGTAAGAGTCTGACACTCCCTTCCGCCTCACCCAGGCGGGAGCAGTCATTCGATGATTTTCCCCCCTAAAAAAAAAAAAAAAAAAAATGTATAATTAATGCATATTGCACCCGTGCGAAGCCGCCTATAAAAGTAAATAAAATATAAGATGCGTATGTATATATGTATGTACGTATTTTTTTTTAAGTGAGGAAAATCATCGAATGACTGCTCCCGCCTGGGAAAGGCGGGAGGGAGTGTCAGACTCTTACTGACTGAAAACCACCCCGTTCCTTTTCCTGCACGTCGAGCCGGAGCCCCGGTAACCCGTTAGGTTCTCCGCGACATGTATGTATGTATGTATGGATCTTTGTAAGTGAAACAAGTGTAACATAGTGATATAACCTGTATGAGTCAGTACGACGAGTGCAAATTATCAGGTTGTGGATTACTGTATCTTTGATCAATATTATGACATAAATAGCGAGGAAAACACGCGATCATGTGTGGTAGATTTTTTTGTAATGGCTTTTGTATTTTTATTGTTATTCAGTGTAGGTATAATTTGTAAGTTGCCGGGTGTGTGTCGCAAGTGCGACTGTCGGGCAAGGGGTCTCGGGTTCGAGCCAGGGTCGGGCTGGGTTTTAAAAAAATCTCAGTAGTAGTACGGAGTCTGGAATTGTGCCCGGTATATGGTAATAGGCTCACCCCCTATTACATGGGACTCATAACATAAATAGTGTAAAGTGGGTGTTACATTGTACAGTCCCTTCGGGGATAAAAGGCGTAATGTTATGATAATTATGTTAATTTGTAAGTTCAGATAGCTGGCACTTCATTTTGTCCTACAACTTGACTATTTTTATATCGAACTTAAAACTCCTTGGTCGGCAGTTGCACAATATAACCACTCGACTAAAGAAGCCCGCATCAGATTAACTAGACTACTAAAAAAAAAAGTTAAAGAATATTGACATAATTTCAAAATACATTATTCCGCGAATTCCATTCGAAAATTCAAATAATTTCGAACATTTAACCCACCACCCGCAGCGTACTAATTTCCGCGCCCAATAATCCGCGGGGCACTTTCGACCTATTTCTCTAACATCGTGAACGTGTAAAGAGAGTGACCAAGGCGGTTAGCGGACCATTCAAGGTCGTGGGGTATGGGCGATCAACTGACGTCATTCACATACCTAACAAGCCGAGAGAAGTGGTAGGGTTGATTGGATGTATATCCCATTCTGTTATTATTTTTATTATATGGCTATTTATGTATAGGTACTTTACGTTGTCCTTTTTCGAAATTCGACCTTGTGTTCTGTAATTTTAAGGTTGGTTTTAGCATGTTTCGGTAGTTGTCGTCTGAAAAATAAAGTTTTGGTAATGATCCAGTTCGTACGAGTGCGACCATTGAGTATAAAGTCTGGGGTTCGAAACCCAGGTTGCATTAAACCGTAATAGCTATGTTCAGAACCTAAACTTACAGTAGGTTAGGTTCTAATGGAATTAGTAATGGTTTATCATAATACTACAGTACAAATTAGTATAATAATAGTGACGTTGCCATGACAACCGACGACATCCAGTTACCTAAATCATGACAGAAATCGACACGGGTGTGGGTGTCAATACGGTCATACAATATCAATGTCTATGCCATTATAATGATAAGGTTTACTTTTGGACGCACCCAGTTATTTTGTCAATGTGTTTACGAAGAGATAAAGGATTGAAAAAACATATTTATACGAAAGAGCGGTGTCAGAAATGTATCACACGTTAGCGTTAATGGGTTATGGAGATGTTTAATACACTATTTTTAAAACTAACTAAATATAACATAGCGTAACTTTTACTTTTCGAAGGGGTAATCCGGGCAGTTCCGTGTAACAGAGGGTCAAATAGAATGTCTCAACGAATTTGAAAATTAAAATAACATAACATCACGCCTTTTTATCGAAAGGGTCGGCAGAGGTGAACATTACAATGTAGCACCCACTTTTCACTATGTATGTATGTATGTTATGAGTGAGTCCCAAATAATAGAGAGTGTGCTTATTGCCATATATCGGGCACACTTCCAGACTCCGTGCTATGGATGAGATTTTTTTAAAACCCGGATATATTTGCCCGACTGAATCGAACCCGAGACCCTTTGCCCGGCAGTCACATTTGCGACCACTCGGCCAACGAGGCAGTCTGAAAATTATTATTACAAAGTACCGGATACATGAGTTTTTTTAACGGGGAAAGTCATCGAATTACTTCTCCCGCTTGTGTGAGGCGGGAGGGAGTGTCAGACTCTTACTGACTAAAAACCACCCCGTTCCTTCTCCTGCACTTCGAGCCGGAGCCCCGTAACCCGTTAAGTCCTCCGCGGCTCAACCTGATATATGATATAGGGTGGCCCCTATGTATTACCTACATGAAATGGTGGAACTTATAACATGACTGACGAAAAGTAGGAACAAAATATTTTTGTTTATTTTACCCGAATACAGTCGGGTAAAAACGGAAAAAAGATCCTAAACTTCAACAACGTCCTCCTAAATTCAGTTTTTTTAAACGTTGCCCCACACTAGGATTTTCTCCTGTGTCGTGGGTGTGTTTACAAACATACAAGTTCACATACACATGACACCCAGACCCGAAAACAGTTTGTGAATCGCACAAAATCGTTGCTTCGTAATCGAAGCCGCTACACGTTGCGCGGCAGCCGATTTCAAGCCACCGCGCCAACCGTGCAGTCAGAAATAAAATAAGAATAAAAGAAAATACACTTTGATTGATTGATTGATTGATTGAAAAAGCTGTCGTCTCATCCCGTTACCGCAGAAGGCAATTTCAGGTAAGTCCTTCAGATCGTCGTAACTTTCAGGATAAAATGGCTGAAGTTTGAGAAAACTTTAGTAAGGAAATCCCCGATCCCCAAAAGGACGGCAACGCAATTGTGACTCCTCCAGTGTTGCGGGTGTGTTTATGGGTGGAGGAGTTGTTTACCATCAGGTGATTCGTATTCTCATTTGCCGCTCTATACATAGGTATTATGTCGCGGAGAACCTAACGGGTTACCGGGGCTCCGGCTCGAAGCGTAGAAGAAGGAACGGGGTGGTTTTTAGTCAGTAAGAGTCTGACACTCCCTCCCGCCTCACCCAGGCGGGAGAAGTCATTCGATAATTTTCCCCCCTTAAAAAAATACATAGGTATTATAAAAAAGTGCATCTTGTCAATGAAGGTGGATCAATTACTGTTTCTGTCAGAAAAATACAATTTCAATTTAAATTTTTAAATAAGGTCTACAGGAAGAAATTTCAACAAGAATACGTAGCATCGTAGCACCTACATAATACATATGTATTCAAATTTTATAAATGTATTGTCGTGTGTGCTGTTTGGGGTTACATTTAACTTACTATAATATTATAAATCGGAAAGTGAGTTTGATTGTTTGTTCCGCTTTCACGCAGTAACTACTAAACCGATTGCTTTGAATTTTTGCAGACGTAAAGTTCGAAGTCCAGATTGAATAATAGGCTTTTTATTCCGGAAAAATTGATATTCCCGAGGGAAAACAAAAGTATTGGTATAGATGGCGCTGTGTGTATTGGTATATATCACATAGCCTACTTTTCATCCTTTTGTGACGCGAGCGAAGCCGCTGATAAAAGCTAGTTATTAAATGAATAAATACCTAATAAAAAGCCTTATACGCCT